CTCGGTGGCTCAGCCTGTAATCCCGCGCCTTTGGGAGACTGAGGTGAGTGGTTTGCCTGAGCCCGCGGGTTCGAGACCCGCCTGGGCAGCGAGACCTCATCTCTACAATAAATCAAAAAATCAGCCGGGCGTGGTAGCGAGCGCCTGTAATTCCGGCTACTCGGAAGGCTGAGGCGGAAGGATCGCTGCACTCCAGACTGGGCGACAGAGTGAGACTCCAACTCAAAAAAAAAAGAAAAGAGAGGTGACGGCTTGGGTTGGGGTCTGGATGAAGAATCTGAGTCCATGGGGCCAGTCGTGAGGCATGGAGTCTTAAGTGCGGGTCAGGGCCTTGGCCTGTGAGCGCAGTCTTGTGATGGGGCGGAGCTATTAGCTAGGCGGGTTTGTGGTACGATTTAGGGCAGAGTCTTGAATATAGGGGTGGGACTTGGTTTTCTGGGGGTGGAGTCTTGTGAATTTGTAAGCAGGATGGGACCCAGGAACCGGTGGAGGGGGCGTGTCCTTCCTGGGAGGGGCGGGCTGACTGGCTGACCAGATCCCAAGAAGTAGCACGTCTTGTGCATGCGTCCAAGGAACAGCTCGAGTCCGATGATGGCATAAATGATGATGACGAAGAGCACCAGTAGTGCTATGTGCAGCAGCGGCACCAACGCCTTCATGATGGAGTTGAGCACTATGTGCAGGCCTGCGGGGATAGAGGGGCGGGCGACGTGAGGGCAGGGTCAGTTCAGCCCCACCCCTGCACCCCACCTCCAACCCAGGGGAAGGTATGCCACTCACTCGGGACCCCAGACACCAGCCTCAGTGGCCGCAGCACCCGAAACGCCCTCAACGCCTTCACATCGAAGCCCCCCGGCTTCCCTCCGGTATGCGGAGCATCGCCTGGTCGTCCAGGGCCCTGCTCCAGCAGCACGCTGAACAGCCTGATGGGGGAGCACGAGGCAGGGAGGAGGGGGTCAGGCCTTGGGATCCTCCCTCTACCCCTCCTGTCTTCTCAGAAAAGCACAAGTCCCTGCAACTAAAAATGGAAATGGATTTTAAATATGTTAATATTCCTAATTTTGGCTGCCAAATGGAGGAAGTCTGAAGCATTCGCTTCCCTGAGCCCGGAATTCAGGGAGCTTTGGGTAGGAAGGCGAACTAGGGCGGGGTCCCCCCCGCAAACGCGCACCCGACCACGACGATGATGAAGTCGAGCAGGTTCCAGCCATTGCGGATGTAGGCGCTGGGGTGGAGTACCAGCCCGTAGGCCACGATTTTGAGCACCGTTTCCACAGTGAAAATCACCAAGAATACGTACTCCACTTGCTCCTGGGGGCAGAGCCGGGGGCGTGGTAAGAAGTTGGGAAGTTATTTGAGGGCGGGGTTTGACGGGGAGGAGGAGCATATCGAGACCGAGAGTGGGGCTGGGCGGGATGGGCCATTTGGGTGAGAGATGGATGGGGTCTGGCTGCAAGACTCGAAGTGTGACTCTACGGGGCCTTATCTGCCTGGGGATGGGCTGGGCCTTACCAGATTGTGGTTGGCAGTGTTGGAGTCATCCTCAGGGAAGGGGATGTAGACCCCCAGGGCCACACAGTTGGCAAAGATGGTCAGCAGGATGAGGATGTCGAAAGGTCTCAGGTGGACACAGTCAAGGACTCAAGCAAGTGGCCTCAGAACCCCCACACTCCCTTGGGGACCTCCCCACTCTATGCTGATACTTGGCTTCAAGGTCCTGACATTCTCAGCCCCTGCTCTCACCAAGGGCTTAACTTTGACCCACCTCCCAGAAACCTTAACCATCTCCAACTCTTCTGCAATTAGTCCTTGACTCTTGACCCCCTAGTGGCCTTTGCCTTTCTGAACTCCCCCTCTAAACAAGTTCTGGACCCTTGATCTCTGATGAGCTCAGCCTCCTTCCATTCCAGCCCTGACCCAGTCCTTGATTCTTGGTGTCCTGATGACCCTTACCCCGGAGCCCTGCTCCTGGTCTTCCAGGATGCTTCCACTCCACGATGCTGATGCAGGACCGCCTCAGGGGATTGGCCAGGGTGAGGCAGAAGAGTGCCCGAGGTGACCGCTGGGCACTGGCCACTGCCACTGTCTTGTGCTTGTTGTGCTGGGTTCTTCGCCTAGGGGTTCCTCCACCCGATGCCCCACTGTTTTCACCCTCCACGGCTGGGGGCCCAGGGCACAGCCCCCATTCAGGACCAGGGCCTGTCCCATTGGCTGGGCTGGGCTCTGGGGTTGTGTCTATGTGGAGAAACCGAGTCAGGGAGGGACAAGTTATTGGGGAAATTCTGGCCGCTTCCTACCTGATCCCACCCCTCTGTTTGAAGGAAGGAGAGACAAGCATGTAAAATTAGGGAGCGTTGAGGTTACCTGGGTTAAGGGTTGGAGGGTAAGAGTTGGTATTGGGATTGAGAGTATTGGGTATTGGGTATTGGGTCAGAGTGAGAGTTTATAGGGGAGTGAAGGTGAGATTCTGTTTCCAAGAGAAGTAGGGATTGGTGTCAGATTTAGGGGTAGAGTTTAAACTGTCATGGGGTGGACAAATTTAAGGTTAAATATGAGTGGCGGATTTTGGATTGGAGTGAGGTTGAGTTTAAATATAGGTAGGAGTGGAGTGTGGTTGAGATTTGATTTAGGGTTAGGATTGGGTATATGAATGAGTTGAAATTAGAATTAGCATCAAGGTTAGGGTTGAAGATGAGTCTTCAATTGGATTTGAGTTTTGCATTAGGGTTTTCGGCTAAGGCCATTCCCAGTTCCAATCTTGTTTCAGCCTCCGAGGAGCAGTAGATTGGCCTGGTTAGAATCCCCAAATTTGGAGGAAACAATCTCTTGAGTGTCAATCCTGACACTACCACTTGGTAGCTGTGTGTCGCCTTGGGCAAATTATGTAAACTCTTTGAACTTCAATATCCTTATCTGTATAAGGGAGAGGATAATAAGAGTACCTACAACATAGGGGTGTTGTGAGGATTAAATTAGTACAGCATTTAAAAGAATGCCTGACACATGGTATTATTCCCATTTTGCAGATGAGAAATTGAGGCCAAAGGATAAGTAACTTGATGAAGTGGCTGAATTGGGAGTCAAGTCCAGGCAGTCTGACTTAAGAGCTCTCAGGGCTTACTACCACCATCAAGTGTGTATTTTGCCTCTATTTTTTAGAGGATCTGTGCACTTTCTGGTAAGTCAGAGACTGCACTCACTAACAGTATTGACATCCAGGGGTTAAGGTTGAGGTTAGGTGACTTTAGAGCCCATGGTAAGGTCCCTGTCCAGGTTGGGATTTGGACTCTAACAGGGGTTTGCCTTCTGGTTGGTAGGTTTTGTGTTAGGATTCAGGTTGGGGCTGGCTTTGGAGTTAGGGTTGAGGTGGTTGCTAGGATAGGGGTCAAGGCCAGGATTGAAATTGGGTTTTTTTGGGGAACTAAGGCCATGGATAGGGCTGGGAGGCCATGGGGGGGCAGTGTCTGGGTCAGGCTGAGCGTCAGGGTTCAGGTGGAAGAGAGGCTGTGTTTCGGGCTGGCAGGGGTGGAATGGGGTGATGTGATTCTGGTTCCCCAGAGGTTCTTGGGGGTGGGGTGTGGATGGGCAGTGGGTGAGTCAGAGGGGTTGAGGGTGGAGCAGAGCCCAGGCTTGCTCTAAGGGTCTGCAGGGGTGGAACTGTTCTCACCTTTCCCGCCTTCAGATTCCGACATCCTCCTTTCGAGATTGAAGAGCCATCTGCACACAGCCCCCCTCTCTTCCCCCAGCTTTGGAGGGATTAAGGTCACAGGGCGGGGCCATAACAGGGTTGGATGGGAGGGTGAGTAGGGGATGTTCGTGGGCCAGAGCCCGGCAAGAGAAAAGGCACTGATTAAATGTTTACCAAATATATACCTGCACCAGTCAAACTAAAATAAGAAAAATGGTGTTATTTTCCAATAGTATCCGAAACGTGGCGTACGTAGAAAAACCTAACATAACATGTGCAATATCTCCATGAAAAAACATGAGCAGATATTAAGGGGAGACTTAAATAAATAGAGAAATATATAATGCTTACTGACTGAAATATTCAGTTGTGAAGATGTCAGTTGTTTCCAAAGTGACCTAAAGATTCGATGCAATCCCAAACTAGATATCAAAATATTTTTCTGTGGGATTTGACAAACTGATTCTAAAGTGTATATTGGTGTATAAAGGACTTAGAAAAGCCAAAATCTTTGAGAAAAGAACAAGGTGGAAGGGCTTGCCAAATCTGATATCAAGGCTTATTATAAAGCTATAGTAATTAAGAACACAATAGAATTCTGAAACTGATCCACATATATGTACAGGTGATTTATGACAAACGTTGACACAACTGAATAGAGGACACAGGATCGGCTTTTCAGTAAATGGTGGTTACTTAGATATTTGCTGTGTAATTATTATTTGGAATGTACAGATATGTGTAACTTGTTAAAACAATTATTGAGTGCATCAATACTAGTTACTATTACTTTCTTTCTTTTTTAAAAATAGAGACAGGGTCTCACTATGTTGCCCAGGCTGGTCTCAAACTCCTGGGCTCAAGAGATCCTCTTGCCTCGGCCTCCCTAAGTGCTGCGGTTATAGGTATAAGCCGTTGCGTCTGGCCTAGTAACTATAACTCTCACAGTGCTTTCTTACTGTATTATGTGTCAGGAGCATAGTACAACGTGCTTTACATAAATTAATTCTATCTTAATTCTAGGAAGCAGATACTGCCAATCATCCCATTTTACAGATGAAGAAACTAAGACCCAGGGAAGCAGTCGCTTTGTGTTAAGAACCTGTCCTTAACTTGTACATATTTACAGGCTGGAAGATGAATGCCACCTTAGATGAATGAGTCAAGAATCCTCTCTTTCCCGCCGCTCAGCGCATCGTTCCTTTCTCCCTTGGAAGAGCCCAGGGAACTGCAGGTGGAAGAACTACAATTCCCAGCAGCCAACTGTGAACTCAACCTCCGTGCGCACTCACATCAGACCGCCAGGCATCCGGCGTGTGCCGTGCTCGCTCACAGAACTACACTTCCCAGCTTTCCTCGAGAGGCCCGTGACACTCCTTGCACCGCGAGCGCAGAGCAGGGTTTCGACAGCTGCGCCCCACTTTCTCGGATCTGGCCCTGGACCCAGCCCCCGGCTCCGACACGGCTCCACCATGGAGGAGGCGGACCGAATCCTCATCCATTCCCTGCGCCAGGCCGGCACGTAAGGACAGAGCCCCCGCCCACCCCCAAATGCCCACATCCGGGACTCCAAAATCCAGGACCCCGTTACCCGGGAACCTTAAAACCCGAGACCTGGGCATTCGGGGCTTCAACTTCCAGGACCCTAGGACCCTCACCACCTTACACCCCCCCACACACACACCCCGACAACGGGGGTCTTCCAAATCCTTTGACTACGATATTTGGTAAACCCCAAACTCTAGGACCCAGACACCTTGAGACCTTACAGCCTTGAAACCTCAAGACCTGGGACCCTGAAATGGGGATCTTGACATCAATACTCTGGGGCCCTAATATCTGGAGACCCCTGAGACACCTGGACCCTGAGAACTAGGAACTTAAAACCGTAGGACCCTGATACTTGAAGGTTCCAAATATCCTGGGACTGGATATGTAGGAACCTTCGTACTGGAGTTCCCCAAACACCTGGGGCTTTTAAAATCCCAGGACCCAGCCTGGCGCGGTGGCTCATGCCTGTATTCCCAGTACTCTGGGAGGTCAAAATAGGAGGACTGGTTGAGCCCAGGAGTTCGAGACCAGCCTGGGCAATATAGTGAGCCCCTATCTCTATTCAAATAAAATAAAATAAAATCCCAGGACCCCAAAATCTGGAGACATTGTCAGCACTTGCTCACCCTGATACACAAGGACTCCTCCATTCGAAGGCCCTAAAATATCTACGGAGTCTGTTTTCTTTATTTTTCTTTTTAATGCTCCCTCTGTCACAAGCACAAGAGCCTGATTCTTGTATTGCTTGAAACTCGGAGGTCTTGATATCCAGGGATTTTTGAAACTTAGGAACCCTGACATTTGGAATTCCTGAAAACTCCAACCTCCCACAATCTAGTCTTCTTAAAAGTCTAGCAGCTCGATATCTAGGGTTCCCTGATTTGTAAACAACATATCTCAGGACCTAGAAACCCAGAGACCATGTCACTTGGGTCCCTTCACCTTCCCAGACCCCAGAAATTTGAGATTTTCTGAACTCAGGTCACTTCCATCCACCATTCTCCTACACCAAGGTCTTAGGACCTGAGACTTTCTCTAGTTCTTAGTTTTCCAAATGGAAGTCACACTCACCGATATCCAGGATCTGTCTGAACTGTGGGCATCCTCCCCACTCCTACCCTGGTACTAGTGCTTCCTAAAGGCTGCATGGCTAAACCTGATCCCTGTTTCCTGACTATTCCCCCACTGAGTCTGCCCCATTCTTCTTCAGGGCAGTTCCTCCAGATGTGCAGACCTTGCGAGCCTTTACCACTGAGCTGGTTGTAGAGGCTGTGGTCCGCTGTGTGCGTGTGATCAACCCTGCTGTGGGCTCTGGCCTCAGCCCCCTGCTGCCTCTCGCCATGTCTGCCCGGTTCCGCCTGGCCATGAGCCTGGCTCAGGCCTGCATGGTGAGTGCTCTCCTTCCAATACACACATCTTCTTCCTTCCTCCTTTACAGAGCAACCAAGCTCCCTTGAAACTCTTGCCTTTCCTCTCTGCCACCTCCCCTTGTGGTTTAGCATTTATTCGTGGTTAAGGCTGCCGGCTCTGTGGTCAAACTTGGTTAAACTGCCTGAATAGTTCAGACCCTAGCTCTGCCACTTGCTAACTGTGGCCCTAACCCTTCTTGGCCTCAGTTTTCTTATCTGTGAAATGGAGATGATAGAAGTAGGGCTGGTGGCCAGGTGTGGTGGCTCATGCCTATAATCCCAGCACTTTGGGAGGCTGAGGCGGGAGGATTGCTTGAGCCTAAGAGATCAAGACTAGCCTGGGCAACATAGTGAGACCTCGTCTCTACAAAAAATTTTAAAAATTAGCTGGGCATGATGGCGTGCACCTGTAATCTCAGCTACTCGGGAGGCTGAGGCAAAAGGATTGCCTGAGACCAGGAAATTGAGGCTATGGTGAGCCTGTTTGTGTTACTGCACTCCAGCCTGGGCAACAGAGTAAGACTCCAACTCAAAAAAAAAAAAAAAAGGTAAGGCTGTTATGTGGATTAAATGAGTTCATCCAGTTTGTACCTGGGCTGTTCCTGGCTTCTACGTTTTAAGCTTCACCAAATCCTCCCATCCCCAATATCCATTTACTAGTTCCAGAAAAGGCCCTGTTTGGGTCACAAGCTCAGCTTAAACTAATCACTGTTATCTGATTGGCCCAGTCTGGGTCACATGGTCATCTGTATAGGACACTGTGATTGGCTGCTCTTTCAGGATCCCATGGAGTTGGAGGAAAGATGGTTCCTAAAGGAAGTTATGGTGGTTTACTGCAATAGTGTCTTTGCTACATTACTGCTGTGGCAATCATACATGCTGCCTCTCCTGAGAGCAATTCCAAAAATGTCTCTATGATGGATAAAGTGCCTTTGTGATGAGGCACTCTCCCCTTCCCAGTGCAGAGCTGTGTCCAGTTACTATACTCAAGAGCTCTAAATAATACCACTCCTTCTGGGTCTGCAATTCTGGGCCAGTCTCATAATCTCTTTGAGCCTAAGTTCCTGCATGTGTAAAATGGGTGTAAGAATTGTACCTACATATAGGGTTGCTGTGAAAAGCTGGATATAATAAGCTTTGTGTAAGTGAGATTACTATTATAGGATAGGCCTGATCTGGAACCTGTGGCAACATGGTGAATGTAAACACCTTCAACAGACCCAGTAAGTATATGGTGGTAGAGGGACAGTAGAGAAACTGCAGTGAAACCTTCCATTTAGACAGAGGACAGAGTGAGTGGAGTCATTAAATTTGGGCCTTGCTCGTGCAGTTTCTGGCCCTTAGCAATAGGTCTCAGAGTCCACGCATCCCCTGTTCTCAGGCCCACTCAGCTTTCAGTTCTCAGGTTCTTCTGTCTGGGGCTCTTGGTGGCCTTAAGGGGCAGCCAGTCTCTTTCCTGGCCCAGCGCTGTATTTTTGAGGCTAGCACTGTGTAAGGGGGAAGCTGTGTCTTTCGTTTGACTGGGAGAGTGTACAGTAGGAAGTGTTGAGGTGGATGCCCAGGTTCCTCCAGTTCTCCATTTTTCCCCAGTGCTGTCTCCCCTGGGTTTTGTGTTTACCTGCTTATGCTCACACTGAATTTAGTGCGTACAGTGATTATGGCCTTCCAGAGGTCAAGAGGTCCATGCGATTGTCTTGGTTTGCTGTCCCTATGGCCCACCTTAACGCTGCACTGCTATGTCCTGCATCTTCCTCTTCCTGGGCCCGGCTTCTGGCACCAATGTCTGCACCTCAGCCATCTCCATATTTTGGAGTCTGTCCCATTACTGGAATGAGTTTCTGTATTGGTCACAACTCCGATCACAGATGTCAGGGGAAAAAAAAAGTAAAAGAGCGTAAAAGCCAGTGGTTTTCACACTTTTCTGACCGTGACCTCCCAAAATAAATATATCCTAAGTCTATAATAATGATGGTTTCTGATTCTCTTGACAATCTTTTGATAGGTACTGTTAGTATCCCTTTTTTAGATGAATAAAGTGAAGCACAGAAGGGTTAAGTGATTTGCCCGAGGTCACACAGTTGGTAAGAGGCATAGCTTGGGTTTAAATCCAGGGAGTCTGCTTTCAGAATCCACGCAGCTCCAGACCAACAACAACTCTGGCAGAAGAATGCTTTCTTTTTCTCCCAGCCTATTTCCCAGTCCCCATTAGAACCTTTATGAGTCCTTTTATCTTGAGCTATTGTGTTGCTGGTCTTTTTTGTCTGTTTAGTTTTAGGCACTCTTTATATAATAGGTATATTCACCTTTTGCCTATGATATAGGCTCCAAATATTTTTTCCCAATTTGTTATTACTCTTTTGACTTTGCTTTTTATTTATTTATTTATCTATGTATTTATTTTGTAGAGACGAAGTCTCACTATGTAGCCCAGGCTGACCTCAAACTCCTGGGGTTGAGTGATCCTCCTGCTTTGACCTCCCAAAGTGCTGGCATTACAGGCGTGAGCCACCACTAATTATTTATTTATTTTCATTTATTCGGGAATATCCATCTTCTCCTTTATGGCCTCTGGATTTTACGTCATAGAAAGGCCAAAGCTTTAATCTTATTTCTTGCTGCCTACAGCACTGACTGTCGTTGCTCTGTGGCTTTCCCTGGGGGCGGCGGGAGGCCTTGGGTGGTAGTGAGAGAGTGGGAGCGTTTGTGGCCTAGGCCCAGGGCTCCCTGGACAGGAGGATCCTACCTGCCCGACTGATGGGGCCCCATCCCCCAATCTCCAGGACCTGGGCTATCCCTTGGAGCTTGGCTATCAGAACTTCCTCTACCCCAGTGAGCCTGACCTCCGGGACCTGCTTCTCTTCTTGGCTGAGCGTCTGCCCACAGATGCCTCTGAGGATGCAGACCAGCCTGCAGGTACTGGGTGCCTGGGGTATAGGTGGGGGCAAGAGGGAGAAAAGGGCCGTCCTGGAGGTTCTAGAGGCTAAGAGAGGTGAGGTGACAGGTAGGGGTGGGGGTATGTATCTTTGGGAGAGCTAGGTAGGAGGACTGGGGATCAGAGACAGGCTGCAGGGCAGGGGACGGGTCTGAAGGTTGGGCCAGCCCAGGTGGTGAGTTGCTGAGAAGGCCTCCCTGATGCACCTCCTGTGCCCTCTCTTACTCCACTCTAACCACTTGGGCCTCCTGGGCGCTCTTCAAACACTCCAGCCTCGGCCTTTGTATTGCTGGATTATTCTTCCCTCAGGTACCGTCACAGTCACTCCCTTGCTTTTTTGAGGTTTCCCTGTAGGGGTCACTTCAGGGAGGCCTTCCTGTTACTGCCTTGTGTAAAATGACAGCCTCCTTTCCGTTGTCCTCCTCTCCTGCCCAACCGTGGTCCTGTTCATGATCTGTCTCCTCTACTAACTTGCCGACTCTCTAAAAGCAGGGGCCTTTATCAGTTTGTTCCCAGAAGTAGCTCTAGTGTCTAGAACAGTGATGGGTACATAGTAGGTGCTCAGTAAGTGTTGCTTGAATGACTGAGCATAAGAGTGATAGCTGCATAGATACGCATCTCTGAATGGGGGGTCAGCAGCAATGGCTGATTTCCCAGGGTATGCACTTTTGCATTTGCAGCATTGTCACCTGATTCACCCCCTGGCATCTTGTGCCATGTCTACCCCACCCTAGGTGACTCAGCTATTCTCCTCCGCACCATTGGAAGCCAAATCCGGGACCAGCTAGCCCTGCCCTGGGTCCCGCCCCTTCTTCGTACCCCCAAGCTGCAGTATCTGCAGGTAGGACCCCTGACTCCTGTTGATCTCTTGTCCCCGCTTAGCCTTCCTTGTCCCCAGCTGGGTGCTCAGGTGTTTGGCCCCCTCCTACCAGTGACCCCCATCACACTTCCTCCTGGAGGCTCTGACTTCACTCTCCCACCAGGGCTTGGCCCTCCAGAAGCCTTTCCATGCCAGCAGGCTGCTCGTGCCTGAGTTGAGTTCCAGAGGAGGTGAGTGTGAGGCCATGGGGAGGGCTGGGGAGGAGTTGGGAGTAACCACGCATTGGGGGGTCGCTGGCTGACTCTGTTGCTGCCTCCAGAGCCACGGGAGTTCCAGGCGAGTCCCCTGTTGCTACCAGCCCCTGCCCAGGTGCCAGAGCCTGTGGGGAGGGCAGCCTCACTTCTTCAGCACCATGCCATCCAGCTCTGCCAGCAGACGGGCCGGGGCCGCCCAGGGGATGAAGACTGGGTCCGCCGAGCACCCCGCCTCCCGTCCCAGGTATAACCTGCTGCTTGGCCACCGCTCTCCAGGCTCCTACTCACAACTGCTCCTGTTGTGTCTCCGAGCATCGTCCTCTGCCCCTCTCCTTTCCCCACCTTGTTCCTCCCTTCAGTTGTTTTTCCTTTGTATCTATGTTCCCCAATTGAAAGAGCACTGGAGTCCGAAAGGTTGTGAACCTGGAACAAGTCAGTTTCCCCTCCTCAGAGCCTCAGCTTCCTGCTCTGAAAAATGGGAGAGTAATCATACTCTCCTCTCAGGGCAGTAGTTAGCCTGATAGCATGCATGAAGTTCCCAGCAAGCAGCGTGGCCAGGATTTGTTACCTTCTTCCCATTTTCTACCGTTCCTCCCTTCCCCAGAGCCTCTTTCTTTCTCTGTCTCTGTACTTGTCGTGGTACTCACTTGTTGTGGTACTCACTTGTTCTGTCTCTAGGTTTCTGCACCATTTCTTCCTGTCCCTGTCATTCTCATTCTGTGGTTTTGCTACCCCCCTTTCCTGACCCCCCTTTCTGTCTCCTAATTTCTGCACTGCATCTCTCTCACTCTGTCCACTCTGGATCTGTTCTCTGTGCCCCTTGATGCAGCTCTGTCTATCCTCTCCCTCTTTTCCAGCTACCTCTATATCTGTCCTCATTTCCCCTTTGTCCACCTCTGTCTTCCCATCTGTTGACCTCTTTATAGGTCTCCTTTTCCTCTCTGTCTCCCTTCCCTCTGTCCGCCTCTACTCCTGTCCCCCATCTCTTTCTGTCCCCCTCTGTATCTGGCCCCCTCCCCTCTCTATCCCTCTCTGTATCTGGCCCCCTTCCCTCTTTGTCCCCATCTATAACTATCCCCCCTCTGTCCCCCTGTATCTGTCTCCATCCCTCTTTCCCCCCTCTTTATATGTCCCCCTTCCCTCTGTGTCACCTCCTGTATCTGTTCCCCTTCCCTCTCTGTCCCCTCTGTATATTTCTCCTTCCTCTCTCTGTCCCCATCTATGACTGTCCCCCTCCCTTCTGTCCCCCTCTGTATCTGCTCCCCTTTCCTTCCTATCCCCCTCTGAATCTGTCCCCTTCCTCTCTCTATCGCCCTCTGTATCTAGCCATCTTCTGTTTCTGTCCCCCTCCCTTCTGTATCCCCCTCTGTATCTGTTCCCCTCCCCTCTCTGTCCCCTCTGTATATTACCCCTCCTCTCTCTGTACCCATCTATTACTGTCCCCTTCTGTATCTGCCCCCTTTCTTTTCTGTCCTCCTTTGTATCTGTCCCCCTCGCCTCTCCATCCCCCTCTGTATTGGTCCACCTCCCCTCTGTTCCCCTTTTTATTTGTCCCCTTTCCCTTTCTGTCTCCCTTCCTTCTCTGTCCCCCTCTGTATCTGTTTCCATTGCCTCTGGTCCACCTCTATATCTGTCCCCCTCTCATGTGGTTTGCTTCGATATTTGTGCCCCTCCCCTTTCTGTCCCTCACTGTATCTGTTCCCCTTCCCTCTCTATCCCCTTCCACATCTGTCCCCTTCCCTCTCTGTCCCCCTCCACATCTGTCCCCTTCCCTCTCTGTCCCCCTCTGTATCTGTCCTCCTTTCCTCTCTGTTCCCCTCCCCTCTGTCTCTCTGTTTCCCTTTCCTCCGTCTCCCTCTATATCTGTCCCCCTTCACTCTCTGTTCTCTCTGTATCTTTTCCCCTCCCCCTGTCCCCATCTATAACTATCCCCTCCCCCATGTCCCCTTTGTATCTGTTCCTCTTCCCTCTGTCCACCTGTATATCTG